ACTGTGAACATAACACAGCCAAGGCATAAGGTTCACTTTGGTTGCCTAAGCAGTAGGAATGCACACACTGTGTACCCCATCAGTCATAGTAAGGGCAATGAGAGGGATATGTTTGTTTCAGTGATATCAGGATTGATGGTTGTGACATCACATTTGCCAGGTGACTCTTGATAGGGTGAAGAAATGTCATTTAGAAATAAATGGTGCAGTAAAACAAAAGAGATAACAATGACTCTTTCAATAAGTCAATGGCCCATACAAATCTGACTTCTGGGATAAATGTCTCATCCATTCAATGAAAGGGCCATCTTTTGCTTACTCCCCAGGTGTGATCAGTTGTGATTGGGATCAAACTCATCACATTGAGGCATATATACCAAGAGAATCCAGCATTGACTAAGCTAAAATCAATAGCTAAGTTATCAGAAAAACCTGATGAGCCTCTTACTCAAACAAATGTTCAAAGCTCCTGATTTGCAATGAAGAGAACATCACTTCTATATGAGAAGAATGATTTGAGCTTTCCGCTGTTGCTCATATCCGAGCTCCAGTGTTCTAGGCATGAAATACAGCCTTCTGTGCAGAGAGATCACAGGTGCTCAGTTGAGATAATGATGAATTTACCAAACACAAATAGCTATTGTGTCACCACACAACAAAAATTGGTAAAGAGCTGCATTAAATCTCTCCAGAAAGTACAATAGGAATAACTCTCTATGTTATCTCTCTTTACACTCTTCCTGTTCTGATATTTATAAGGCAACCTTCAGAGTACTGTGAAAAGTTTAGCCTAGGAAGCATGAAATAGAAGTTTGAGGTTCCTAGACATGCAAATGGGTCTTTCTTTTCATTACACAAGCCATCTGTTGATGAGGCAAAGGGGCACAACTAGATCTAGGCCAATTAGAGCCAAAAAAAAAACCCACCACTCTCTCATCTCAAAAAGGTCTTGCCATCTGCCACGCCATGTTTGTTGTTCCTGCGAAGGGCTGATTACTTATATACACAAAGTTTGGAACACCATGCGGGTCCATGCTTCACTTGGGGGCATATTTTATCAGCCATGAGAAAATCCTTAGCCCTATTAAGTATCTCATGAAGAGAAAGAAAAGCTGATTGGAACAGTACAACTGCATTCTCCAGCTGCTTCTAGATTCATGAGGCCATTGAGGTAACACCATAAATAACTGAAGTTGGCAGGGTAGCCAAATAGGTTAAAATATGCCAGGAAGGGAGACAATCAGTGTGTCTCCTCCTGGCGGTATAGAAGAAAAGAATACAACAAAGTGTGCAACAGGGAGTAGCAGAAAAGGAAACCAGCCTAATCCAGCCAAAGAGAGAGCTCTAGGTATTATGGGAAGTGACAAGAAGGAAACAGAGAGAGCCCTGGGTTACTGATATTGAAAAAAAATGACTCGTGAAAATCACACTAGGTTGAAAAGCAACAAAAAGAAGACTGAGAAGCATAACATCCTTTAGAGAGCAAGGAATTTGGAAAGGGAGAAGGACCAGGAGAAGAGTCAAAAGAATGATTAAAGAGCAACTAAGTGAATGCACAGGATAGTTAGCCTTCTAAATGTTGAAAGGAGAAGAATGGAAGGAGAGGTGTATAAACTAAAGGATACAAGCCAATGCCACAAACCATGGGAATTGTGTCAGAAAGGCATAGAATGCATTAAGGATTATGACAAATGCTCCAAACAGGGGAAAAAAAAACCTTTTGTTTTGCCAGAAACTAAAACAAAGACAAAGAGATTCTAGTTTTAATCTAAGAAAAAAGGGTGAATTGATAATGGATGGTGATGAGAAGGCAGAGTGTCAACTTTTATTTACATCTGTCTTCTTTTGAAAGGTGAACTAAACCCCTTGTGCCTCCCCTTGTTTCACTAGTGCAAGAGTGGGCAACTATGGCCCCTATAACCTGTGGATTTCAACTCCCAGAATTCCTGAGCAGGCATAACAAAAATTAAAAATAAATGCTTAGTTTGTTTAAAAGAATTCAAGTCTCAATGCATTATAACATTAAGTGCTGAAAAAGAAAGAAGAGGTGATTGCAGAATCACTAGCTTTTATAGCTGATAACCCCTGGAAGGCTTTTGGAGAATTCCCAAAAGACTGGGGAAGAAGAAATGTCCTGATCATCAAAAAGGAGAAGGAGGAGGACCTAGGAAAAACTATAAACATGTCAGTTGGCAAAGCAGATGCACAGCATATTTGGGAGCATATTTGGAGAAGAATGAAACAAGCAGCAAAAGCCAGCAAATAAGGTCTTATTAACCTTATCTCCTCCTTCAATAGAGCTATTGGAGTTTAGTAGATTGGGAAAAGCTGGGGAGATACTGTGCCTGGGCCTCCTCAAAGTTTTTGACAGAGTACCTCAGAATATTTATTTATTTATTTATTTATTTATTTATTTATTTAGGAGATTTATATTGCTGCCTATTCGCACATGGTGGCTTAAGGTGGCTTACAGAATATAAAACCCCATATAAAACCAATAAAAGAAGTGTCATATAATAAATTAATATACTAAAATCAAACCCCACCCACTGCCCCGGCGACAGCATCTTACATGAGCCATTTAATGGGTTCCAACCCGGTCTGCATTCCGCTCTGCAGGCCTGCTGGCAGAACCAGGTCTTGAGTGCCTTCTGGAAGAAAGAGTGGGGGCCATTCTAATATCTGGGGGAATGATGTTCCGGAGAGAGGGAGCCATCACAGAGAAGCAGAGGTGAGATTCAGCAGGTTCTGACCAGTTCTGGAGAATCGGTAGTGGCAATTTTGAGTAGTTTGGAGAACTGGCAAATCCCACCTCTGACTGGAGATTTTACAGTATCCTTCCCTTGCCACGCCCACCAAGCCACACCTACAGAAACAGTAGTAAAAAAAAATTGAATCCCACCACTGCAGAGAAGGCCCTTCTTTGGGTCCAACCAGGTGTGTGTCTCCCTAGGGGATGGGACCCACAACATTCCTTGCCTCTCTGCTCTGGTGGGTCGGGTAAATGTGACTGGCAAGAGATGGTCCCTTAGATCAGTGATCCCCAACCTTTTTGACGCCGCGGCCCGGTACCAGCATCAGCTGGGCGCCGCGGCCCGGTACCGGCATCAGCTGGGCGCCGCCATCTTTTTTTGATGAAAAAGTGCTTCCGGTGACCTCACCGGAAGCACGTTTTCATCAAAAAAAGATGGCGGCGCCGAGCAAGCCGCGGCCCGGTAGGAGTTGTTCCGCGGACCGGTACCGGTCCGTGGACCGGTGGTTGGGGACCCCTGCCTTAGATAATCTGGTCCCAAGCCTTGAAGGGCTTTGAAGGTGACAACCAGCACCTTGAATTGCACCCAGAAGCAAATGCAGCTCCTCCTGCAGGAGAGGTGATACAAGTGCACACTGAGGTCCGCACAAAACTATGCAGGCCACTGCATTTTGCACCAACTGAAGCTTCCAGAAGCTGTTCAAGGGCAGCTTCATGTAGAGCACGTTGCAATGTTCAAGACGGGAAGTGACTAGGGCACGAGTGACCGTGAATGACCTGGATTGTTGGTTCAGGAAATATCCTCATCAGTAATATGGTAAAATATGGGCTAGTGGATACAACTATTAGATGGCTTTATAAATAACTGAACTGAACTCAGCAAGTACTCATGAATGATTCCACATCCAATTGAACTATTTAAATGGCGTGCCCCAGAACTCTGTATTTTTATTAATGACCTGGATGAAGGATTTTACAGGATATCAGACTTTTAGATGACACAAGACATGGGGAAGTGGCTAACAGTTTGGAAGAGAAAGAGATTTCAGAAAAAAAATAAATGAGTGTGAACAGCAGACCAAATGCTGGGAAAAGAAATATAGATCCCTGCAACTGGGGAGAAAAAAACTGAAAGGTGCAAGAATAGAATGAAGAAATGGAATAGCAGAAGTACATGTGACTAAGATCTGGGTGATCTTGGCAATCCGTCAAATGTGAGCCAATAGTATGTTGCAGCTGCTAAAAGGGCAAATTTTATATTAGGATGTATTGATGACAGCATAGAGTCTAGAACACAAGAAGCATTTTCCCATTCTCTTCTGCTTTGATAAGATCCCCCTTGGAACAGTGTCAAGTACTGAAAAATGTAACAGACAAATTGGAGCAAATTCAAAACAGGGTGAAGAGACTGGAAAGTGTGCCCAATGATAAATAATTAAAGGAACTCAGTATATCTCTCAGTGTATTTCTATACAAGAGAGAACCGAGGATAGATATGATAACAATATTCAGATATATAAAGGTTTGTCAGATCAAGAAGCGGGGTGGGTGCGTATTCTGTCTTCTTGGATAAAAGGACAACAAGCAAAAGGATGAAATTTCAGGGAAGTCAATCCAGGTTAGATATTAGAACAAAGCTGTGATACAAGTTGAGTAGTTAATATTTCAAAATGATCGAGTGTTGAATTATTATGTATTATTGTTTAATGTACGTTTAATGTTCTATTATACATCATAAAACATTACTTTGCTGTCTACCTACAATTTAATAGTAATAAAGTTCCACATAATTAAAAGCTTCTGCGCAAACGGTAAGCCAAGAAAAATATGAGTTTCTCTTTACCATCCCTCTGGTTGTTGTCTTTAATGTGTTACACATTTAATGTCCTACACAATCAGGGAAATTACAGGTTGTGTTCAGGTTATTTACAAATCTGATAGATTCATTTGACAACATGCTAAGTTTGGTAAGTTTTAACTTTATTTCCATGTAGTTTTCTTGGCACCTTCAAAGAAGTGGTTTATCATTGACTTCTTTGGGGGATGTAAAGTGCTGAGAAAAAAATAAAAATTTGCAATTTCCATTAGCTTTTGACAGTGAGCAGTAAAATATCATTTTTTTAAAAAAATGATCCCATGTGAGCTCAGAAAGAGATAAAAGGAAAGGATTTTAAAAAGGATAATCAGGAGAATAATAGAAAGTAGGAAAAACTGGTATCAAGAGTTGAGTAGCAACCAGACTACTCACACAAACAGATGTCCACTAAGAATACAATATAGACCAGAAGTTCACGCAGTGTAGTCTTTACATAAAGCTCTCGGTTCTCACTGGTATTTTCAGTCAAGGTTGTGCCCCAAAGCCCTGTAAAAAAATAAGGAAAAAATGAACAATATGTGGATTTATTCCAACCTCAGTTGCTCCATCATATCAATATGTTCCTGATGAAATTAGTGTATTTGCCTCACAGAAAATGGAGCTGTGGATGACAGATTTGAATCCTATGGCTTAGCTTGTAGGAATGTTAGAATTCTAAGCATGATTTGATGTTTCATACTTCATAATATTTTAAAGGAGTACATCAACTTTTAAGACCCATGTAAAAAAAAATCAGCTGTATGGTATTTTAAAAAGTGTACTATGGATTTTGCGTTGTAATTCTTCAAAGCAAAATTGTGCTCATAATGTATATGTTTTTAAAAAAATATGTACAAAAATAGATAATTAGTAAAAGTAATGTTAAAAATAGTATTTGAATTATTCTCTCTTCCCAAAGGCACATATATTAGGGAAAATGAAAATGAAAAATGCAAATTATAATTACAAATATTTAATTATTTCATTTTCAAACTGATGCAAAGTATGAGATGGATTACTGTGAGAACAGGAAAAATCAGCAATTGAGAGATACTGAAATGGTTATGTAGTTAATAATTTTCCTTTTGGTCACTTCAAAAATCAGGAATTGGGTGACAATTCCTGGAATTGCCATCAAGACTTTCAGGAACTGGCCATGTCTCTAGAACTTAACAATTTTCCTCTGAATGCTATGGATTTTACACTTTCAAAAGTAAATAATTTTCAGCCCATTTGATAGATATTTTAAAACCATTGCCCTTATTTGCTCAAGATATATTCTAATTTCTTCCAATTTCCACACTTTAACTGCTATTTCCTTATTTATTCTTTTACAGTGAGCATTACTAACTTTAAGAAAAACTTGGGAGATTGCCTGGAAAAAGGGTGTAAAACTGGGAAACACATGCCATCTGATTTCAACACCTGATTGTAAACATAGGATTTAAATAATTTAAATATTCAGATACAATGCCACCTCACCGTTTTCCAGGAATTGCTGCTACAATGGATACATTAGGAATTGGCTCTGGCTGTTTTCTGCAGTTATGGATGCAGGTGTAAAAATGGGTAAGTGGGCAGGTGCAAAAGTATGTAAATGTAACAGAACCTCACAAGGACATTTAGGAGGCAATTGGAAACATAAATATTTTAAAAAACCCAGCCTTGCTTTAATTGTTTGATCCTTTAGCTTCAGCTTAGATCCAAATCAATTTCTCTCTTCCATTTTACTGATTAGCATGAATTTTCTTGGAGTTCAAGAAAAGCTGGTTCCTTTGAAATATTGTTCATTTCACTTTTCTTTCATTGCTCACTGCTAATGAACACCATTAAGGCTTAATAGCTTGCCTCTCTAATGGCTTGATGTTATTGCTCTTCTCATCTAAACCTTCATCCAATGTTGGTGTGAATTCCTACTTGAAAGTGGAGTAAATGTTCTCACATCAATATCCAAAGGGGTTTCTATTCCTTTTAGGCTTAAGGACACTCAGAACCACAGCTCTGTGATAGATGTTCCTCCACACCCTCGATCGAAAGCTCTTGAGATGGAAGAACACAGGCAATCTGTGCCAGGAACAGCTAAAAGCTCTTTAGGGTTCCTGCTCCTGGTTCAAAAAGTTACTCTTTTTAAAAAGTACTAGCAACTGATTCCAAACTCGACTTTTAATGGAAAATGTACGGTTGATTATAAAAAGTAGCAATTTGATCATTCTTGATTTTTCCCACTTTGGTTTTATGCTTCTCTCTGTCTACACACTTTTTGATCTGTATGAACACAGAATATAAGGGATGGAACGAGTCGAAGTTCCCAAATTATCAGGGTTGAGAAACTATATAGGGTTTGCAGTCTCAAAATTCAGATTTAATCGAGTGTGTGTGAGAGAGGGAGGGAGGGAAGGAGAGAGAGAGAGAGAGAGAGAGACAGAGACAGAGACAGAGACAGAGACAGAGACAGAGAGACATTCAATGAAGTCAAGATGGTGGTTGCCCCTTCCACAGATGATCAAGCTCTCTGACTGCTACAAGCATCGCCCCTAATTTCAACATTTAGATAAGAGAAAATAAGTTCAACGCAAGCTTCTGTCCTACTGCTATTGTAATGATATATGTGAAGGACTTTGGGGGACAGGAGGGAGACGTACATACTGAGTGTATCTAGGTCTATCACTTAGTATGTATATCACTAAGTGTTGTATCTTATGATTCTTGATGAATGTATTTTATTTTTCTTTATGTACACTGAAAGCTTATGCACCAAAGACAAATTCCTTGTGTGTCCAATCATACTTGGCCAATAAAGAATTCTATTCTATTCTAAAGTTAGAATAGATTTCAGCCCACCGAAAGAGGAAGAGTATGAGAAACCTTTCCAAAGGGACCCTCCCTAATTTTCTACATAAAAAAAGGAAAGGAGAAATATTTTCAGACTTGTTATTTATTTTTTTATTTTTATTTTTATTATCTTGTCAATTGCTTACAAGATAATAGGTATAAGTAAAAACATAGTTATGAATACATGGATACATATAAGAAAAAATAAAAAAATATAAAAGAAACAATAGGACAGGGATGGTAAGCATGTTGGTGCGCTTATGTATGTCCCCTACAACAGGGGTCCCCAACCGCCGGTCCGCGGACCGGTACCGGGCCGCGGAACAACCCTTACCGGGCCGCTGGTTGCTGGGCGCCGCCATCTTTTTTTTGGTAAAAAAGCGCTTCCGGGTAGAAAGCTCACCGGAAGCGCCTTTTCGTCATAAAAAGATGGCGGCGCCCAGTTGACGCCGGTACCGGGCCGCGGCGCCCAGCTGATGTCGGAACCGGGCCGCGGCGTCGAAAAGGTTGGGGATCCCTGCCCTACAAGACTTACAAGAGTTTGTTAAATAACCTTACAATAAAGACAGAGCTAGTACTCCTTGCTGTGCTTCTTGTCTGGACTCCCTTGTGCAAGCCTAATGGTTATAGACTCACATTCATAAAATATTTCTGCCTGCCAGCATGGCCACTTCCAAAAAAGACAGTCATTCTACAAAATTCTGGTTTTCTCTACTTTTTTTTTCTTGTGGAGATAGTAACCATAGTTACAGAGGATAAGATTCACAACTGATTTTTACATGAACCAGGAAGTTCTACATATCTATATGTGACCAAAACTCACAAGCTTAGCACTATGAAATTGGCCTTGAGTTTCTGAAAGAACGTCATCATAGAAACTAATCAACCATCAAATTCCAGACCGCATAGATGTCCAGTTGGCCCTGAGCCATCCAGCATGAAAAAATCAGTTTGGTCTAGTGATTAAGGAACCAGACTAGAAACCGAGTATCCATGGGTTCTAGTCCCATCCTAGTCATGAAAACCAGTTGGGTGACCTTGGGCCAGTTCCTCTCTCTCTCAGCCCAGCTCACTCATAGGGTTGTTGTTGTGAGAAAAATAGGAAGAAGAGGGAATATAAGATATGTTCGCCACCTTGTGTTGCTTATTAAAAATGGTGGGATATAAATAAAATAATAAAAAATACATCAGACAAAATCCTGGTTTTACAAATTTTATTCATTAAATTTATATCCTGTCCCTCAGGCAACTCATACGGTGAAAAAGATGTGATTTATTTGAAAGGCTCCCTGTCTTTAAGTGGAAGAGATGTAATTCCCAAGGAAGCTATATTAGAATCAGAAGAAGTAGGAGAGGAGAATAGATAGGGTCTTCAAAATACCTGAAAAGTCACACAGAAAAAGATCTCCCTTATTCTAGAGTGCAGAACATGGAGAAAAGGGTTCACATTACAGGAAGACATACAAACCCATAACAACCAGAACAATGTTGAATTATAGCAAAGTGGTGGGCTTCAGAAATCTTTCTAATTCTGCTCAATTGTAAACTCATTGGATGATTTGGAATTTAGACTCTCTGTTCAGAAAGAATAGAAAACTATTCTTTATGTCTATAAACAACAGGTCTTTTCACCTTCTTTCCATCAATTGCTGAAAACTGGTCTCCTAAGTCATCTTTGAAGAAGTGGAGTCAGACCTTTTCAGTTCTGAGTTCTTTTCATGAGAATTAAGAAATTAACTATCCTAGACTCGCAAATGATCACCATAGCAATTCTTGTGTAACAAAATGTTTTTGCACTCACAATACTGCCAATCAGTCATTGCATTTATTTGGTAATCATTTGGTAATATTTAATAGCACTTAGTTCTGTGACACGGGATAATTCACAGCTAACCATGTTTATTCTTTACAGAATATATTCTTCGCTGAAGATATCTTCATTGGTTGCTGCAGAGTTTGGTTTTGGCTAAACACTTTTATTAAGTACTTTGGAGGAACAGAGGGGAAAGGAATATTTATCAAATTTGCAGAGTAGACAAAATTGGTCAGTGTACTAAGAATAGTTAATGCAGTATCTCCAAAACTAGAAACATTAAAACTAATCTAGAGAGTTTAGCATAAAGGGATGAAAATAGCACAATGAAATATAACTGAAAATTGTAAAATCCTTCACTTAGGAAAAGCAAAGCATTGTGCAATGGTTTGCCATAATATTTGTGAAAATGTTATTGGTTACCATAAAAAAATAGTAAGGCATTTTTTAAAATATAAACAACCAGGATATACATTTTTTAACTAAATGCAAATATATTGATATACTTAAGCTACAAAAATCAATTTTTGGTCACACCAATCTAGTATAATTTCCAAATAGTTCCATTCTCTTCTGTCTTGGTGAGATTCTACTCTGACTACAGGCTGTTCAAGAGGAATTCTGAGGAAGTGGAATGGGCTTTGAGAAAGAGAATGGGAACATCTCCAGCCTAAGTTACCTTCCTCAGATGACTCATCCGCCCAGATGGAGATAAATGTGCCTGGGAGGATATTTTGAGATAGTCTACCAACCACAAAGCATCTTGAGCGCTCTTTGCTGGCAGTGAATGCAACAATGAGCGAAAATAGTGGTACCCTCAAGAGCTTTAGAGATTTCGGTGTTTTTATTTCAACCCGATCAAGGATGTCAGCAGTATACAATGGAATATACAAATAAGGCAAGAAGTATAGTTCTTTGAAAAGAAAGCAGGCCAGAGAAAAATCATATCTTTAAACAGAAGCAAAGACGCAAATCAGATAATTCATTCATAGAAACAATTATCTTGGCTCCAAATATGTCAGTTCTAGAAAAGGATTAAAATTCTCCATGGATTTCATAAAAATAAATCCAGTCAATCTGACTTCCTTCTCATGTTTTGAAAGTCACATCTGAACATTCGCTTCCTTGAGTTATGACATTATTTTACAAAGATAGCTTCATTAATTAAGCTAAATGTCAAGCATGCTGGATAAAATTTGCTCCATTTTTTCTTTTATGCACAATATTCACATTTAACAACTAAGCTAATTTGCAGCAAGGCATGATGCTAATTAGCATTAGCCACATGCTCCTATCCACCTTTTGAAGCTCAGGCAAACAATGTTGCCCCCAACTAATTTCAAGGTAATGGTCTCACCTTTAGGCAACCTTTCCAGCTATAAAAAGGGGACAGTAACTTCTGTAACCTAGGCTCAGTTCAATAGTTTAAATTTTCCTGCCTGTCATTGTGATTATTTTTAAATTTGTACATCACACATAGAGAGATAGCAAAGCCACATTTACTGTACAATATTCCTTCAGTAGTCCCTGCACAAAAGTTGTATCCTTTCCCCTGCCTCTTGGTGGAGCTATCACAGATGGCTATCTTCTCTGCATTTAATCCCACCCACCCACCGCCCCAGTTACCTCGGATGCCTTTGAAGACATAGTAGCAGCATCCTGGAAAGGGGGTTTCCTTCTTCCTAGCTTCCTCTGTGGTCTTTCTATCCTGCGGGTAGGATAGAGAGCCAGTCAATTTTTCAATATTCTCATAGGGATTTTCCAAAATGGATTTTGGGTTGTAGATCGCTCTGATTTTCAGGGAGGAGGAGGAAGGGGATCCGTTGTAAACTGGGTTGTCCCATGCTTTCTTCCCTAGAGTTTCCAGTTCATGTTCTTCTTGTGCCTGGAAATGGCTCTCAGCTCTGTTGCTTAGGTGAGAAATGCTCATGATGCTGAATCAAGCAATGGTTTCTTGTAGAAGACCCCAAGGTATCAAGCAGTCAGAAGCATTCATCTGCTTGGCACTTTGCTCTGAGACCTCTTTTATATTCAGCCACTGGGTGACAAATAGAGAGTGGAGGCCATTGTTGGGAGCAGCTATTAACTTCTATTCTTCGGTGAAGCCAGCTACACCCAGGGGTGGATCTCTTTCTCTCTGTAGATAACAATCATGAAAACCTGCATGGAGAGAAAATCTGGCTGTTAAAACATTGGTTCTTGTGGCTGAATTCTCAGGGAAATTAGAAGCAGGATGTTCATTGGACACTTTGGGCTGAAACAATGCTGAGTGACACCTGGCACATCCCCAAACATTACAGGCGCTCAGTTTTAAATAGAGCTGCACCAAGAGAGCATTTGGGATCCATAAATCAAACTTTACACTTGCTTCTTGCAACTAGACTTGGCTGGGCTCTTAAGAATCTCTAGATCTAAAATAGCCATTTTTCTCTATGAACTGGCAGCATATGTAAATTCAAGTAATTTTCTAGTCAGGGTTTTATTATCACAGTCATGGTGATTATTCAAAAGACAACATACAAGCCAATATCAAAGGAAAATGATTGATTGGGGGGGGGGATTTTGTGCTTGGAGCTATGAAAAGGGTATAGTTGAATTGATCAACCTGTCTCTCCATCTATCTGAAGATCCTGTATGATGTTTAAAAAGGCTGAAAGAAGAAAAAGAAGGATGAGGAGATGCTGCTTCTCTGGATGACCCAGAATTCTAGACTTGGAAGGCCATCCAGTCCAATCCCTGTTCCAAGCAAAAATCTAAATTAAATTCAGTTATCCTAGAAAGACAGTTCTTTAGCCTTTGTTTTACCTCATCTTGTGAAGAGGAGGCTCATCAAAGCTAAATGATCCCACAGTCAAACTGCTTTTGCTGTTATGCAATTCCTCCTAATATTAAAACCAGAATCTGCCTTTGTGTAACTGAAACCCATTTTTTTTTAAGTATTTCTTAAACTTCTCTCAGGACCCCTTTTAAAAATTTGGGACGACTCCAAAAGTGCTTTTGTTTATATGGGTTATATTTATTTATATTTACTTATTAAAAATTAAAATTGATGCATTGCTACTGCTATCACTTTTCAAGTTTGTTTGATGGGATTTTAATATTGTATTGTTTTTCAACATAAGCTGACAAATAATTTTTATTTTGAGGAGTCCTCAGAGGGGATCTTGGTGGTCCCTTTGTCATTCAATGTATCAAACAGGAAAAGATTTGTTTTGGGTGGGGAAGGAGAAAGGCAATATGACAATATAAAATTTGCTCAGGAAAAAATGAACCAGTCTCGTTTTCTAAGTTTAATCTGTTATTTGTATAATTTTTCATGGACTTCTAAAATGAAATATTTTCCTGTGTGAAGACATGCTACTAATTTATTCTAGTGTATTTCCAGATCCCTACCATTTTATGTATGATCAGAAAATATTTTATTATTTCCCCCTCCCTCCCAATTTTCACAATTATAAAAAGGAAAAAGAAAGAAAAAGCTTCAGAGTGAAATTGGGAAAATTCTGGACTTATTTTTTTTTTTCATTTTTCAAGTTAGTTCTGTCTGCAACTAGTGGTGTCATTTTCCCTCCACTCGTGATATATTTGGTCTTTATTTCATATTGTAGAACAAAATAAAGCACATTCTGTTAGAGAAGAAGAACGTGTGCTGGGTCCGTAAGAAAGACCTAGGATATTCCCTGTGTCTTCATAGCAAACACCAGAGTAAAACTGTTATCTGCGACTGATGGATGAAATTCATGGATATGAGTAGATTTGCTGAACTGGATGGAAGTTTAGAAAGTTGGTCTGAAAACATATCAGGATTGGTTCATAGATGTTACATTCCTAAAAACCTGTTTTTAACAATGGGAACTGAGAAATCCAATCAAAACCAAAAGGACTGGTATGATTCCAACATGATATTACTTTGGGAATGTGGAGAAGGAAGCAAATCAAATGCCAATCCCTCTCCCTGCCAAGAATGAAGAAGAATTCATCTTCCACATCCATCCAGGGAGAACATTTCCAGTTTAATATCCTTCAGTAAGTTTCAGTGCCAAGACAAGTGACAGGAAGGAAAAGCAATTCTGCATGTAATGCTTATGTGCATATTTTCTTCTTTTTTTTTCTTTTTCTTTGAATGTAAACCACTAGCCTTTTACTGAAGACAGGTTGGATTACGGATGTCCATCTGAGAGGATTTTTTGGAGTCCCGAGATGCTAATTATGCCTCTGGCTGACTAAGAGTACAGTAATTGTTACCTGTTGAGGTTGGGAGCCGAGAAGGATTGTGGGTGACACTTCATGTTATTGTGGTGAAGGCTCATATCCTGGTTTTATATCCTGGTTGGATTTGGAAGTCAACTTTGATACCTTTGACTACTTTCAATGGCATTACAATCTTTAATGGTGAAGTGGGTTTGATATCTATTTTATCAACTACACCTGCTGTTTATATATATATATACATACATACATACATACATACACATACACATACACATACACATTTATATGTTTTCTCAAGTTTTCGTGGGTACTTACATGTATGGCATTCAGCTTTTCCCACGTCATTGTAGTTGTGCTTTTAAAGTTGTAGCAACGTTTCGGCAGAATCTTATCTGCTATCATCAGGCTTCTGTATTGTGTTCGTCTGTGAGTCAGACTTACTCAAACGAACACTATACAGAAGCCTGATGATGGCAGATGAGATTCTGCTGAAACGTTGCTACAACTTTAAAAGCACAACTATAATGACGTGGGAAAATACCCGAACAAAGCTGAATACCATACATATAAATACCCGTGAAAACTTAAGGAAAATACACACACACACACACACACACACACACACACACACACAGCCATTCTTATCTTTTATCGGTAGTTAAGATTAGGCGCAGTTCAGCAAACAGGCAAATCCCGCCACTGACTGGCCCCACCCTCACTCATTTTTTGCCTTGCTTTTGGGTCATTTTCAGGCTGTTTTTCAGGCCATTTTTGGGGCTGAAAAGGCCTGAAAACAGCATGAAAACAGCCCCAAAATCGCCTGGTTTGGGGGCCATTTTCAGGCCCCCTTTTCAGGCCATTTCTGACCATTTTTGGGCCAAAATGTCCTAAAAATGTCCCCAAAACAGGCCAAAAAACAGGCCAAAAAATGGGCGGGGCAGGGCCAGCCAGTGGTGGGATTAGCCCCAACCAGCTGAATCTTACCTCTTCTTTTGAGGTGAGTGGCTGGGAGGTGGGGCTGAGTGTGATGAGTGACGTCACCCACCCAATCACATGACCAACAGGCCATGCCTACCCAGCCAGAGAACCAGTTGTTAAAAATTTGCAGCCCACCACTGATCTAACCCTTTTGGTACCCAGGATATGACCAGGGGAGGGCTGCTGGGAGTTCGCAGGGGTTCAGGAGAGTCCCTAGCTAAGATTCTGTGCTGTTTAGAGAACCCCCAAATCCACTCCTGGCTGGCCCTGCCCACCTGGCCCCATCCCTCCCAGGAGTCCCCATGCAGCTCGTTTCGGATGCAGGAAAGTGCAGGGTGTGCACAGAGGCTCAGGGAGGGTGAAAAATGGGCCTCCCAGAAGCTTGGGAAGACCAGAAATGGGTCCATTTCTGGCTTCCAGAGAGCTTCCAGAGCCTGGGAGACCGTTTTTGCCCTCCTGGAGGCTCGAGGAAAGCCTCCAGGGCCTGGGGAGGGCAAAAATCTCCCCCCACCATGGTGCAGGAGGCTGATTAGGCCATGCCCACCATGGCCACGCCCACCCAGCAACCGGGCAGAGAAACCTTTGCTAAAATATTGGATATGACTTATTACAAGATGGCCCTAACACTGTTCTCGGTCTCTTAAGGTACATGACTAAAGTTTAAATGCACACCATATATTCCATATTTTGAAATGCAGGCTATGCAGGGAGGGGGGAAGAGATCCTAAAATCTCAAAAAAGGGGTAATCTGATTGCCTCCATGTGCTCATTAGAAAGTTAATAATTTCTGCTCTTTTCTTTCAATTTGTGATGACCCAGGGCACAAAGGCAACACAGTTAAATAAGCAAGAAATGTCCCTTTAATATCTCCAACTTTGCCCCCAATGTCCAGGTCACCTTCGGCTGGAGAAAAAACTCTCACAAGAACAGTCTTTAAGTGGAGGAAATTCAGTCTGAAAACATACAAACTGTAAATAAAAATCCACACAAACCCCGCTGCTATAATTAACTTGACAGGACAGGACAGGAGAAAGAATTCCAGACTTGAAAGGCCAGCAAAACACACAGAGTTGGGAAGATGCCAGGAACCCAGATAAGCTTTGACAATACCAGATAATTCACAATTTGCTCCCAACAACTTTGCTGTGCACAGCTTCCCTTTTTAAACACTGTGTTCCCAGCTGCAGCTAATGAAGGGAATCAGGGCCCTTTCCTCCCCTGTAAGCCACACAACTCACATTGCTCCCTTCTTTGTTCCTCCCTTCTCCGTTCCTCCCTAACCCTAGGATGAAGAGGGGATGGGCCTGGGTTTTCCTCTGAATTCCCTCTCCCTTGCTCTACCTCTTCCCTGCTCTGCCCAGCCAGCCTTTGTCCTTCCCCAGTTTCTTCCACAGCCAACAGAGCCACACTCCCACTCCCTGTCAGCTGCTCAGCCTCCCCCTCCGAATCAGATTCTGACAGGGGCATGACACAATTATACTAAAGGAATATTATCTTTTAATGTTGCAGATGAAGGAAATGGAAAACCTAGATGTATAAATAAATTTGCACAATCTAATATACTTTAGCATAGCAATTAATGGATTACATTTGCTCCAAATGCTTGCTTGTTTCATTTGGGATAATTAACTTCTAAGTGGCTTGTTTACAAATTCTGATGCCTCAGATTTTGACTTGAGCTCTTGAATGAAGGTGGTTAGAAGTCTAATCAATTAAGCTAATCATAACCTTCAAATTGCTAACATATGTAAGTCTATATAAGTACTAGCCAGGTTCATAACTCAATCTTCTTTCCTGGGATGAAATTCAGCATCTTCAGAAACTTTAGTTTTACAAACTTCTGCAAATTTCTTCAAAGAGTTCCCTGTGAATATGAAAAATATCAGGGCTTATTTTGGGGGGAACTGTGTTCTATTTGCTCAATAGAAATACAAAATAGAATTTTGCCCAGGAGGTGGCAGC